GGTGCTTAGGTGAAGCCTTGCGTCGGTAGAACATCATCATCGTCACCACTCCGTCGTGCTGACGAAACTCTCCCTCAAAGCTCGGCTGGATCGGAGTTCGAGGGACGTCATCGAGCTGAACGTGTGCTGAACTCGGAGGTGTCGTGCGTTCGGTACTTGATCGGTCGGATCGTGAAGACGTACGACTACATCAACCGCATTGTGCTAACACTTCCGCTTTTGGTCTACGAGGGTACGTGGACACACTCTCCCCTCTCGTTGCTATGCATCACCATGATCTTGCGTGTGCGTAGGAAATTTTTTGAAATTACTACGTTCCCCAACATCTTGTCCATCACATCATTCTCTAATGATGTGATCTCGTTCATCAAATGACAACGCATGTATATGGTTAGGAAACTTAACCATCTTTGATTAATGAGCTAGTCAAGTAGAGGCATACTAGGGACACTCTGTTTCGTCTATGTATTCACACATGTACTAAGTTTCCGATTAATACAATTCTAGCATGAATAATAAATATTTATCATGATATAAGGAAATATAAATAACAACTTTATTGTTGCCTCTAGGGCATATTTCCTTCAGTAAGGAGTAAAGTGAACTAGCATGAGATGGTTGTGGTGAATGAGGTGGTTGCCAACTCGAAGGACTATGATAGAGAATACGTAGAGAAGATCCAAAATATGACTATTACTCAAACAGTGGTATGGGGATCGGAATCAACGGTAGAAATCTAACAAAACTAACAAAATAGTTCAAATAAATTTGAGCAGTCAAGGTAGTGTACAAAAACCAGAAGAAATACAACACTCAAAAGTACTGATGGAAAATGAGCAGTTGTTTTGAACACAAAAAAGATAACGCCTTTTCTATTGGGACATAGTTGCTCGAAAATGTTGGTTAGACATATTGCTCGGTAGTACCCAACAAAACAAAATCATTGCAAGATTTGAGAAATCTGCAAAAAATAGTTGTCGCGGCTTGGAAGTTATGGACGAAAAGAAGCAGATGTATTGCTTACACTTTGACAAAAGAGAAGCAAACCGAGACGGCTCAGGAATGCCAATGAAATGTGATGCTCAGAAGTTACAGGGTTGGTAATTCTGAACAAAAAGAATGGTGGTTATTTTCAGTTGAGTCTAGGTTTGATCTTTGATTATGAATAAACCTAGGAGTCTTGGTAATACTAGGCCAAAATCTTAGGAATTACCAATGCTTAGAGAAATCCATACAAAGATGGCTGGGTTGGGGACTTTGGGATAGATTTTACTTTGGATATATTCTTGAAATTTGAAAAAAAGTCATTGCTTGTGCCTCTCTTCATAGTATGATTGTCCTATTATCAATGTGAATCTTGGATTCACCAAAATACCTAGAAAGTGCAAACTATGAGCTTGATGAGGAGAACAACTAGAAAAGTTGTTTGTAGGGGTCACTAATCATCTCCCGTATAAAGCCATAGACCTGAATATGAAAATTATTCCAAATTCCTGAAATGAACTCATTGAAATCATTAGTCCTCTTGGATGTTTTTTTCATTAAGCTTAAAAACAACTAGGGTATTATGGGGATGCACTTTCAATATGTCAGAGGGTCCAAAGAGAATGCACCCGGTGGCTCAGAATGCACAAAGGTGATTTTTTTCACAAAGGCTTGGAGGATCCGGTGGAAGCAATTCAAAGATTTCAAATGAAACTTATGGTTTTTGGATACAACATAGATTACAACTCGAAGGCTCTTACCACACAACATTCGGAGGTTCCAAACTATACTATAATCCTTGGATTTTGCTACTATATGATCTCACAATGTCCAGATGAAACTCACTCAGAGTGTTTGAACGAAACTTTTAGTTCAAACTTTAATTGGCTTGGAGGTATTGGACAGACGACACTCACGGCTACTAGACAAAAGGAGCAATGCTACACATACGAAAGCTTACGTGAGGCTTTTAAGTAAAAGCTGATGTGGAGGTGGGTAATTGGGCCAGGATAGCAGATGGGGCCCACCCTGGTTAAATTAGGGGGGGAGAGAATGTATGGAAGGTTAAGTAAACTTACATAGGACTTTTAGTAGGTGTAGGATTATTGGGACAGAAGTCACCTCCAGGTACCGAACGTGAGTAAAAAAAAATTGTACCATCTTAGATATACGAGACACCTTGCTTGGAGGATCCGAAGTGCATAAGGTGCAACTAACTAACTATCTAGATTGCTTCAGAGGCTCCGGATGGAATCAATTTGGAGGTTCCGAACAGACGAATGTGAAGAGAGTTAGGACTTGGAATAATGAGAAATTTTGATGGGTTTTGGAGACTGAACTTTGATCACATAGCAAGAAATACTTGTCACAAGACCCAAGACCCCCTTTAACAGTATCAGCATACCTACGAGTCGAAGTGATCATGCCAAAGCTTGATCCTTAGATTTCGAGGGGTCACAAACCATCTTCCAAACTCAACATCTTTTGGGACTATAGCTGATCAACACTATGAGAAATTGTAAGTCCCTTTATTCAGTCTTGTTGTCATTATTCATCAAAACCCACTATGGGGTCCTAGATGCACTTACAGCTTGACTACTTCCACGACCCCCGCGATTGCTTATCCTTTTTCCCACTCAAATTGCGCAAATAAATAATGATATGGTTGAGGGCATGTCAACCATCCAAGACATCAATGCCGAAATTCATCTGGCATCCAAGCCTCTCTATCTGAAGTTCTGTTCAGACATGCATGTCCTAGTCCTACAACAGACTCCACGACGCTGTCACACCTATTGCATTTGCATGCAAACACAAAGATTAAGCAAGCACGCACCGTGGAACCAGCTCACAAACATTGCATTTCCATGGCCGGTTCCCAGCCGAAGCACCAGCTCCCCCGCCAGCCAGCCCACCAAACAAGCCAGACCCTCTAGAACCATCAGGCACTATAAATACCCAAGGCATGGCACATCACCGCCGCACCACAAGAGCAACCAACCATCCACGACACACACAGCACGGCAGCGGCGTAAAGGGAAAACTCCGGCAAGATGTCTCAGCTCGCCCGCGCTAGCCTGACTGCGGTGGCGATGCTCCTCCTCCTTGCCGCTGCTGCGGCGGCGGAGGGGCCAGCAGGCTGCCAGGACGACGTTGTGGCGCTCAACGAGGCCTGCTACCAGTACGTGCAGAAGGGCGCGCCGACGGTGCCGCCGTCGCAGGAGTGCTGCGACGCCGTGCGGCGCGTGGACGTGCCCTGCGTCTGCAGCTACCTGGGCAGCCCCGGCGTGAGGGACAACATCAGCATGGAGAAGGTGTTCTACGTCTCCCAGCAGTGCGGCGTCAGCATCCCTGGCAACTGCGGAGGTGAGCCAGCTAGCTGCTTCACTTGCTCAACAGCCTGTACATGATTGAACTGAGACTGACATGCTTACCCCGCCAAATTGCGCTAGTCCATTCAAACCTCAGGGAACTACATGTATACCAGGATTACTATTCATCCAAAAATGTCGTTCGAGTTCATTTTTCTAAGTAACAGTTGAACCGATTTGTGTTTTGGGTTTATTACAGGATCGAAGGTCTGAAGCAGGAACAGGCCAGCTGAATGGCAAGCTTGGATAACGTAAGCAGCGCAGTTCGCACTGCTGGAATAAATAAGACGTCCTGGTCAACTCATAGGTGGACGATGCCAGAGCACAAGGAATGCATTGCCATTCAGTTGCTGGAAATATTTATAATATTGTACTTTGGCTACGTTGCAACTTGTTGCAAGACTGTTGCATTGCCATTCAGTTGCTAAAATTATTATACTTTGACTACGTTGCAACTTCCCTGATAGAGTATTACTATTATCTAAAGTTTACCGGTGAAGATAATTCTGGATGACTGAACTGAAACCAATCACATGTGCAGATTCATCAAAACAATTTAGATGCCAAAAACCTACAAACATATGCATACACAGAAGACAAAATGGCACTGATCAATCCCCAATCTCTCCCCTTCAAGTAGTGGTATATCTTAGCAAGTAATTACATCACAATTCAGTGGTTCATGGGCGGCCTGGAAAAGAAGCAGCCCCCCAGTGGAAGAACTATACAATTCGCCCTCCACGAATCACAAACTCATCCAGCCCAAAACACTGGACTCCGCAGCAGCACTCACAAACCTCTCTAGGACTAGCGCCGGCGTGTAAAATGCCGGCGCGTCTACACCGTCACCATCATCATACACTCACGAAAACTTGGAGGTGTTGAGCCTGCCCCACCATTTCCGCTTGGCCGAGTTGGGGGAGGACTCGTTGCCGCCACCGCCACCGCCGCCGCTGGCGAGCTTGTTCAGGATCACCTTGGTCTCCCTGATGCGGGAGCCGAAGTCCTTCTTCCACGAGTCGAAGTTCTGCTTCAGCCTGCGGAGCTCCACGTCCGGGTTCAGGCTCGCGTCCGCCTGCCCGGACTTGACCTCCACCAGGAACTTGGCGTCGTCGGCGAAAACCTGGCTCCGCTGCTCCAGCTCCTCCGCCAGCCGCCCGATGACGCTCATGCTGGCGTTCATCTCGCGCCCGGTGATCCGCGGCGCCGCGGCCAGCTGCTGGGAGGAGCCCCCGCCCACGTGGTTCCCGTTGCTCTCCCAGCTCTGCTCCACGGACGAGTCCGACATCCGAGGCGTCTCGTCCAGGGCCAGGCTCTTCTTCGCCACCGACAGGCTCGACTGCAGCGACCGCATCTGCTTCTGCCACATCTCCTCCATCGCCTTCATTTTCTGCTCGTATTCTAACCATCGGTTCTCGTATTGCTGGAGCCGCTGGTGTAGCATCTCGTTCTCCTCGTCCTTCTCTCGGACTGTCGCCTCGGCACGAAGGATTCGCCGTTGTAGCTCGGCCAGGAATGACGCCTTTATCAGGATTTGGTCACCCTCTGCCTCCTGAAAGAATTTAATTCATGGGTTTAAGCGCGACCAGAATCAGATAGTGTAAACAAATTTTCTGCAGTTCCAAATGAGAAACACTACTAGCATGGACATCATATTTTAGATAGCATAGAAACAGATATGATGTGTACCTTTTTCGACTCGAATTCTCTCAACACGTTCAGTAGATCGACATTGCCGGCGCATCTTCTAACAAGGCAGCCGCGGATACCTTCATATTATGCCAAGACAACAGGGAACCAGAAATAGTGAGTCATACTGCCACTTCTATCTTTGCAGAGTCTGACGAGAATGAGGAAAATCTTCTTACCAGATTGTATAACCACTGAAGCCTTCCGTATCTTGATGAAGTATCTTCTTGCATGCCAGCCTCTTAGATTTTTCTGCACAAGAGTGGCTGCCCTATGTTTCCTCAACAGAGATGAATAACTTTGCCTTGCATTCTCAGCACGAATGACTGCAAGATGAGAAGAGCAACCAGCCCATACAGTAAGCATGAGCAGGAGAGAAAGATACAGCAACAAGAAATACAGTAAAATGCACAAGGCAGTGGCTTGGGTAGCTACATGATTGAAGAGCCAAAACTCCTCTGATTCGTTCACTTGCATGGCGTCGTGCTTGATACCCTCTGAAACAGCTTTGAACCCTTAAAACACCATGTAGAGTACGATTCCGAGTATTCTCAAGGTTGCCAATCTTCAGTTCCCCAAAAAAGAAGCAATACAAGATGGTTGTCATTAAAAGCTTAAGTAATAGTAGTAGACGAATGTATAGATGACCACTCAAACTTCAAAGACAGCATAATTATGAATTATAAATTTTAGAAAGCAACTTTAAACATGTGATGTCCATTCATATAAGTATCATAGGCCAACACCGTACAGAGGAACAAACATGGTGATACAGCATTTTCCAGAAATACATCACTTACACAAGGAAAAGAAGGCAAGCCAAACTGACACTGCCGTGTGCACTAGAAGAACGAGAGCCACCACTTGTCATTCACAAAACAAAACGCCAGATGTAATTCAAAAATGTGTGAACCGTGAGCCATTGTGCTCTTGGCATGCTCTTCGGAAAGCATCCCTACCTGAATGTTTTCTCCTTGATACCTGTTTGGTGCATCTTTCTTGTATATATATTTTATTATTTTTTTTATTTACAAACCTTTGTTGTTTATAGATCAGTGCTGCCGTACTACCTGGACCTTGTGGATCCCAATTTCTGTGTATTTTTTACTCCTTATTTAGTGTATGCTTAGCAAATCACTGAATGTACTTATTAATGGCCTTGCTAGACAACAGCAGATCAGTGCACTAGCAAATCACCAGCATAGCAGTCGAATATCAAATTACTAAGCTGCCCTGCTGTGAAATATTGTGCAGTATAAGTAATTATTATCTAATTACTTGTCTATTCTGAAAGTGAAACTCAGTGAGTACGAGATGAATACAGAGTGTAAACAAAGTAGCATTATAATGTATGGAATACAACAATAACCCAGGCATGTTAATAAATGAAACAAAGACTGCTTGACTGACCTGACCAGTTCGGAAGAACAACTTTGTGTAGCCAACTTGATACATCTCAGGCAAAATGTTGAATTGATGAAGAATTGCAACCGAAACACTAAGTGGATCTTGAGACGCAACATCCTCAAGAAGAAGAAAACCATACCTGATAACTTGAATCATTAACATCTTGCACACAACAAAAATCAGAAGCATAATATAGATATACAGATATTTGAATTACCGCCGAGCAAACTTCTGATGAGTCATTCTCGTTGGGTACCCAGATCTTGAAATGCGCACAACTTCAAGAACCCCGCAGCATTTCAGTTGCTGAAGCACAAGTTCTTGTCCGTAAATGGCAGGGAGTTGCAAATTATTTGGTTTAATACAACGTATGAAGTGTGGTGTTGTGCTTTCAAGTCTTTGCATAAGTTGGAATAATTGTCCCTGCGAAACATTTAAACAGCCGGTTGTTAACAGTTGATCTGGTTCATTCAAGATCTCCTTAGAAATTTCTTTGGAGCCACAAAGGTTTTTACCTTAAACTTCATTGCTACACTTAACTTCTGTGAATCAGCAACACTAGGCCTGTATGGTATGGATTCAAGATTATCAGATTGAGCAAGCATCTTAGATGCAAAAGTTTGTGGTATAGATAATTTGCATTTGGCAAGGAACTGAATTGAGTCCATGTGCAATAAATCTCTGTTCTTCTCCAGAAAACCCGATGTGTCATACGCCACCTAATCATCAAAGAAATGGAAATAAAGTTGACAAATGGTAAAAGAAAGACTGATGTGAACATAGAACTGTATATTTGACAACTCCCAACCTCTCCTGCATAGTGACGGACAGTGAAAGCCTTGCCTCTTTCTCCTCTGAAGCAAGAATTAGTGTCAAGATGTTGCTTGAGCTTGTTTGCAAAAGTAAGGTCTGTGGCATTAGGGAATGTAGATTCCTCATCCAGCAGAGACAACAACCCCAGTGGTTTCTGTATCCAGTAGGAGAAGTGAGCAAGATAAAGAATCCCAGACATTTTTATCCAGTAAGAGAAGTAAGCGAGTTTTATTTTCTTTATTTTAGTTTTGCCACAAGACATCTACAGAAGTCATTAAACTCCAGCAAGGTTAAGTGGTATGTTTGGTTTGTGCCCAAGGTTGTCATGCCGAAAAGTTGAGCCAAAATTTTGGTTGAGGTTTTGCTTGCCAATGGATTGGCCAACATTGGCTAGAAAACTGAACTAGAGTTGGTAAAGAAGCATTGTTATGCCAAAAAGATGGTCTTCGTCCAAACAGAGGCCAATGGCATGTCCAAAAACAATTGTAGGGTACACTTTGGTCCCAGTCCAAACATACCATAACCCAATATACACCTTGGTTGGGAACCCAGAATCCATTGTGATAAGCCAGTTATATATTCCACCCTTGTTTTCCCAATGCTAGTTATCATCATGGTTTGAGAAACCAGTAACTACATTTACTTGTACAACGTTAGGATGGGTTAATCACGGAGTATTTACCAAGTTTGTAGAACCCCTGTATTCCTAAAAATGGAAGTATTTGCATATTGGTACAATCTGAAATCTGCAGGCTTTACTTTGAGTGATGTGGAGACCTTCACATTCTATTTTTCTAGTAGTGAATTTTTGTCTCTTAGCTAAGAATGATTGAATGCTATGCGAAAATAGCACTTGCAGTAAATTTATATTTGGAATTTTGCAAGTTAACCACTTTCCAGCAAAACAAAGGCATTCCCCCTCTGCTTATGCCAAATAAAATAGGCATGTGCTTTTTAAGGAAGTACTGGTAGAATTTAAAGCGAAGTGGAGCCTTGGCGCAGCGGTAAAGCTGTCGCCTTGTGACAATGAGGTCATGGGTTCGAGTCCTGGAAACAGCCTCTTGCAGAAATGTAGGGAAAGGCTGCGTACAAAAGACCCGAAGTGGTCGGACCCTTCCACAGACCCTACGCAATGGGGAGCTACGTGCACCAGGACTGGTAGAATTTAAAGCATTCCAGCACAGACTAACATATTTATGATTTCTTGATGATGACAACAATGAAGAAAATGTACAGGCCCATACTTTCTCAAATAGATTCAAGCAGTCCTGGTTGTCCTCAAACTCAACCTTAGCCCAGTCAAT